TATTAACTTCAGTTATAAAAAAAGTTTATATGCGCATATAGTTGCGTTTAAATTGATTTCAAAAGTTTACTAACGCGAGATGGTATTTTCTTTTCTTGAAGGAAATTAGTCTAAATATTGAGTAATTAGTCAGGGCACAAAGATCATGACCTTCTCAGTGTCACATGTCAATGGAAAATCACATCACAAACAGGATTTCCCCGTCGCGTGATAAAGCTACATGGATATTTGTATTATTGCCTTTTTGTAAAATTGAGTTAAATTAACGCAATAGAAGGTTAAGACGCAGAGTTGACTAAAGGCCTTATAAAGGTGTGTGTAAATCTGACTGTTTTTGTGTATTTCTGTGCCTCAAACCGCTAAATGTAACCACTGCACAGAAGATATCTGCAGCTACTGTAGGAAGCAAAGTATGTTCTTAGAAGTCACAAGAAACTAGACTTTTTTGTCTGAATACATATATGCAGTTAACTGAATGACCCCTGTAAAGCATAATTTTTTTTGTCAGGTTGAAACATTTTAAGCTTGGAAATGTATGATGGCTCTTAATCTACATCTATTCGCTTCTCCTTGCATCTATGGAGTTAAAAAATGTTTTTTATTTATATTATATCTGTCATAGCTGTATGACTTCTTTGATTCCTGAATGAAAAGTCAATTGCTTCTTGCAATTGACTTTGGAATTGCTCTAAGGTCATGCACATGTTGAGAGGTTATCATCTGATGCTAACTTAATTAGCTTGACTTAGCTAACGAGCCTTGCATGTCTTAGCTGGATTTTAGATTGATGGGAATGATTCAATTATAACTGATTAAGTACGTTGATAATATTTGAAATTCAGTAATGGACGTAAACTTTGTGATGGACAGGGATACACACACACACACACTACAGTAGTTCAGGTGCCATACTTTACATACACAAGCAAAACTGTCATCAGGATAACTCTCAGTTCTCCCAGGTGCTCCCGTGAACAGACTCCTTTCACTACTCACAGAGAATAATGTGCTCCGACTGATTTAGCAGCAAAAATTGTATTATAGCATTTCCACTAATTACATCTGCTATGCACTGACGGAGAGGACAGACTGAACCTCATGGTTCTCGTCCTCTGTGTACTTCCTTTCTGGGTCAGCTCTACGTTGACTGGAACTGTTGTATTTGTAAAATTGGAAGAAAATTAGGCAGTAACAAAATCAAAATACTTTAGTAGGCTGTTGACTTGGAGTCATTCATGTAATTATCTTTTCTGATTACTTTTATATGACTATCTTAAAAAAATAAAACATTCAAGCACTCATACAAAGTTGTTTTCTATTTAATGACACTTTGCTCACAGCTCTATCACTTCAGTAACTTATTTTCTTACAATGAAATCCATTGTGCACCTAATTTGTTGTCCTTTTTAATTCTACGTGTGCATTTTGATTATTTTTCATACCACTGGGGCAGTACATTTTCATAACTGTAATATTTCATCAAGGTAGCAAGTGCACACACACCCACCCACCCACACACCCACACCCACACCCACACACACACACACACACACACACACACACACACACACACACACACACACACACACACACACACACACACACACACACACACACACACACACACACACACACACACACACACACGTGTAATCCAGTTAAAATAGCTATAATATTTAATTCATATGAGAATCATTAAAAGTGCAGTGGTGCCGTGTCCATTATGCATTCCTTTTCTAGCAGGATAAAACAGTCCTCAGATGTGGGAGCTGCACTTTGAAGTGTTGTCTCAGAAGCAGACCAACTCTTACAGGAAGTCCCTGATGTTTAAAACATGGCATGCAGGGGGACTAAAAAAGGTGAGCAGTTGTGGTTTGGCCCAAAGATGAGGCAAAAATGGCCAGCCAGGAATATGGCTAGATCTGATAGATAGTGTGCGCACATCGCACATCAAATAAACAAAAAGCAGACAAATATACACAAGGGTAATGCTGAAATATACCCACAGATACACACTAACAAAGACAGAGTTGAGAACGTGTTGACCTTCAAGTAGCATCGAAATCTTTTGGGCACAGCAGTATAAATAAATCTCTGATCCAGCTAAGTGAGACTTATAGGTTATTATAATGCTTGGTTGTGATGAGAAGTCCTTTCTGCAGTGATCCTGTACACATAGTATCAAGACAGGCATTCTCTATGTAATGAAATCATCCACCATGGACACGTGTGGGACAAATTGCAATTTAGCAGCTGAGAGCAGACGTTAGCTTATTGTGCAGTACAGTGTTAAACTGACTCCTTAAAAACATCGTCTCCACCACTGTGATTTAGCTGAACCATTGTGATTCGATTCGCCTTGTTACATTTCATTTAAATACTTTATACTTTTTGGGGTTTACCCTATTCTTGTAGTGTGTTATATACTGTAGGTTTATGTTCATGTAAATGGTCTGCAAAGGCTAAAATCACACCCTGATGTAGTCCTTTGTTTATTTCCGTATCATATTGACATCACTATGTAACTTCTATTGGCTAGCACTCCAACAAATTGTAGTTGATACAGTAGAAGGGGCGAGGATGTCTGTAAGCGGTTTACCAATTACAGAGTCGGCCAACTAACCAATCAGAGCAGACTGGGCTCTGGTTTCAGACAGAGGGTGAAAAGAGGTGCTGCAGCACAGGCAGTATGAGAAGAATACAGACCTGTTTGAACATTAAAGCATTTAAACAACACAAAATACAAATATGTACCTGAAAATGAGCAGAATAGGGCCACTTTAGGTTAACTGAAGCCATATACAGTAAACACAGCTGTATTGTGTGTTAGCATTGTTAGCTGTACTGCTACATCAACACATTTGATTGAACCAAAATATCAACCATATTGATTTGTTTTGGCAGGATTTTAAAAACTCCACTTTTCCCTATTTAATAAGCCATTTGATTTAGCAGATTTCTTTTAATTATCTAAAGTTTGGCACTACAGGTTGATTCGCAGTAATCCATGTGAAGTTTGCTGTGTCCATTACTTTTCTGAGAGCAATTCTGGGAATGCTTGTATTGCCCCTTTTGGTGGCCTGACAGTAACTAGGACATGATAACAACTCTGTGTGAGTGCGATCTGTGTGTTGTTGTATTTGCTCACACACAGATTACATTTCGGTGCGTTTCCCTAGTTGAATGTGAGTTTGATGAGCCTTGCAAGGGAAGTGGGTGTCATGAAGATAACCTGGGAGAATGTGCTGAGTGGGGCTGGATGTTCAGCAGGAAGGAAAGTGTGGTGATCAACAAGCAGGAACTCTCATTCTGTCAACTTCTTACCCCCTGCACACGCACACTGCAACCCCCCTAACCGTCATCTGTATTTCTGCCTCTGTCAGGCTTTTTTTCCTGACCAAAAACATACACACACACAGGAAGCGGCCCGTGCGGCTCCCAAATAAGCTGATGTGACATGCCTTCCTTTCCGATATTTCTGCGAAAGCTCAGGAGGGAGGCTGCAGCAGCTCTCTTCTTCTTCCTCAGCTGTAGCCGTGACAGTTCTTCTGTTAGAGGTTTTGCTGCACCGATGGTTGGAGACGCTGCCACTCTGGGCGCCATGAGTCGCTGTTGTGTGGTCAAAGTGATCACCATGACTGAGATACAACTTCTAAAGGTAGGGGGGAGGGCCTCAGAAACAGCACTGGCAAATCAGCTGTGCGTGGCTTTGTGTGCAGTTGTTTCTGCTTGCATGAGATAAATCGTCCGAGTTTTATAAAAGGCATGCACTTACAACCAGAATAAGTGAATAGCCACCGTGGAATGCAGATTCTGTGATCCGTTTGCTATGCCAGTCTTATCTTCCCTCGCATTTCACAACCTAGGGTGCGTGGTTACAGATATTTACTGGTCAGCAAAAACACTGTGAGCATGTCTGAGAAGGTTTCTTCCACTTTCATCTTATCTCCGTAGACAGGGATATTTCAGCATTGCTACTGTCAATTTGTCGTAGAATACACACATTTTGCAGAAATGAATCCTGAACCTCCTCTTAGGTTTTGTCCATAATTTGTTCAGCTTGTTAATGTCACCAACACCCAGTGTTTCATAAGTTTTAGGATTTTTCTGAAGTGAAAGAAGAACTTGGGCAAGACTGAAACTGAGTTAGGCAAGAGCTTTCCATTTTCGAAAAAGGAACACCTGGGAGTGTGTGTGACAATGGTGCAGCAATTTCAGTGGGACTAAAGAAATACAAACAGAGGACAAGTATGTAAGTTATACATATACATATTCTATATTACTACTGGAAAAAACATGTGTGATGCTCTTCACAGTCGAGCATCTGTTCGATTTGATCAACCTGCTGCATTCGTGTTTAGTTAAGATCCCTGCAAGAACACAAATTGTGTTAGTGAAAGAATTAGGAGAAGATTGATTAATACAGAAAGAGAGGAATAGGCTGTGCGCGTTGAACGAAGGCTTGTCTGGTTCAGACATCTTTATTTTACTGGTTTAAAAGTATCTAATGAGAATAATTAAGTTAGGGAAATGCAGCTAATCACAGTCAAGTTTGTATATTTTTACTGCAGGAAGGAAGTATGAACTGAAAACCAGACGGAGATTATGGTATTTGTCAAATCTTGTGAGACGTAATAAAGCAAACTATGCAAAGGTGCTACAAATACAATGTATTGACTGATTTCATTGCTTTGGTATCAGTGGATGGTTGTCTGTAGAGCCAGCAGAAGGTTTGCATGTCAGGAATAACTGTGCAAATGTGTGTAAATTGAGAGTGAACCTGTGACCTCTTCTCGAGCAGAAACCTCAAACACTGCCTGGATTGTTGGAGCAGGTGCAAGTATTGAGAAAGAGAAAAATGGTCACTACAATCCCAAACTTGATCCTTGATTGATTAAATTCTTATCTTATTCCGCGCCCCATGTGCACGGTTGGCATTGATAATTTTCAGCATGTCCTCTTCACACATACACAGGCCCGCCATTGTGGATGTTGGCCTCAGTGACTGAAGAACCATTACCTCTCAAATCTAATCAGATTCCCTTAAGTGGATAACAAGCGTGTCTCCGGCATTTACAGTAGTGAGAAAGCTGAAGTGAAACCAGGACAAACCTCTGTCACACAAAGCAGATGTGGCATCCCTGCTGCAGCTATCCATAGTGGAACGAAATGTTGATTGGCTAACAACTAGCATCTTGTTTGGCCTGGAGAAGACAGATAAGAGCTCTCAGTCACTACTGACAAGTTGAGTATTGTGACTGTTCTTAGTTTGGTGGATGAGCGGTGAATAAGGGCATCCAGTCTAGCCGAGGAAGACAATTTAATGGTGAGTTTCAGTACAATTCCACACTTGCTAAGGCTAAAAGTCCCTGTGGTTTAGCTGTGTTGGGCTAACCCTTCAAAAAAACCATTTACTCTTGCTAGCAATCTGAAACTGCAACATGCTACTTGCTAGCTGGCAACTCAGCACATTTGTGACTTTTAAGAGAATAATTAACACACGCTTGGAAACTTAAAAATCTAAATCACGAGCAGTAAACTGATTCTTTATTAAATTCCATCTGCGGTTTTATTGCGGAAGCCTTATTTGACCCGATATGAACAGAAGCTAATAGTGGCTAATATAAGCTAATTGTAGCAAACATAAGGTTTCTATATCTTTCAACAGACTCTTCTCCAAATGTTCTGTAACTGTAGCATAGTATTTTACCTTACTGTATAGCATTTAGCATGTCACGAAGTAGTTGAACTTGCCTTTCAGCTTAGTTTTGCTTATGCTTTCATTATTGGTGATTTTACTTTATAAATGAAACTTGGTTTAGTGGGATTTGGTAATGTGCTCTGAACGTGACATTGTAACTTAGGAGCAGACAGGGTAAGACATTTCTTTTTCTTCTTTAATATCACGTTTACAAATCAGTTACACATATTAAGTTAAATCCGTCCTCAAAATCCGCTAGTAAGACACCAGCATTGTTGCTTATCTGACCGTCTTAGACTTAATTGATTAGCTGAGGTCAAGCAAGGGAAGGAAAGAAACTGCCATAAAAAAGTTCCGACAAGCCCATAAAACACATTATTTTGACCAGTGAATAGAATACTTTTTTAGGGGAAGTTCAAAAAGAAATCTGGGTTAAAGACACGGATAATGTTAACATCAAGAACTGACATTAGACTAACATTATAATTCCACTGCTAACAATGCATATTTTATGAGTAAGTAATACTCTACAGGAGATAAACTAATTTTGAATAAGCTTCTTTGTGATTTGCAAACCAGGAAATAAGACGTTTTTCTAATGTAAATAATACAGCAATAAAGACTTCAAAATATTGCAGTTATTGTTTGGGAAACTGATATTACTAAAATATCTACAATGAAACCAGTGAATGATTGAAAAAAAGCTTGGTTAAAAATGGCATTAGAGTTATTTAAATCACCCATTGGGGAACAAGGGTCAATTGTGCTGCCACAACCCCTGGAGCAGGCAGGAGAGGAGGCTGGGAGCTGATCACCGATTGGTCAGTCAGACAGAAAAGGGCGGTCCGCATGAATTAGTGACAGACGCTAAAGGCAGATATCCTGCAGTGATCAAACCCTGGGTGATCTGACAGTCCAGTGTTTGAAGTGATTATCATGCTACGCAACATAAAGGCTTACCCCCAGCTTTGGGCCTAATTAGTTCACTTAGGACCCTTTATAAGACTTCGGTAGGGGACGGGGAAGTACAGACACTCACTGAGAAGTCAACAGCTCAACAGGATAGCAGCACATCTGGATCCTTAAGGTTGATCTGCTGCTACACCAAAACAAACCAATCTGAAGAAGAGAATGCCACACTTAACTGACTGCAGTTACTTCACCATGCGGGACGCAACCAGAGCTTCAAATGTAAGAATATCAACATTTAGAAACTTGGTTGAATATTTGGAAATCATGTACCAACGCATTTGTAAGGCTTTTATTACTGGTTTGTAAATGTTGACTGCTGGCTGGTTGTATCTGTATGTACTTTTGTATATTAATATGATATGAAAGTAAGCTAAAAAGTGTGCATTTTTGTCAACTTTGGGAAACACTTTTGCTATTGAACAAGATTTTCCGTCACAAACAAGTACACTTATATTTAAATACCATACTTCAGAAATGGCCTTCATGGAATCAATCGCACTTCTCATAAAGAAACTTGCTACACATTTAATTACATTTGCTGCCAAAGTGTCTAATAATGGGAAACACCAACCCGCAACTATGTCTCTGTTGAATCAGATCATCACAACCAACAGCTGCTGTAAAAACCGTGTGTGTTCCTAGTCGGCGTTGTTTTGGGAATGCTTGATCAACAGACTTTCTGAACATTTTGTTTGTTTTTGCTGTAGGTACAGAGCCACCTGGAGAACTCCAAGTACCACCTCCACCAGACCCAGAATCAGCAGGTCAAGCAGTACCTGACGTTGGGCTCCAAGCTGTCCTCTTCGACCGGGCAGGGCCACGCTATCCCGCACCCCCACGCCCAGGGCCAGTCGCTGGCCACCGTGCCCATCATGAGGAACGGACACATGCCGTCCGTGAGCGACGGCAGCAACCCAAACAGCCCCGTTACCCTCCTCAATATGGCCAATCATGACAGCGAGGTGAGTGGACTGATGGTGGAAACAAAGTGTCTGAATGTGAACTGGGATGTTTCTAAATATATGGAACTGAAATTGAGAAAAAGCCAAGAATGAAATTGCAACAAAGACATTTAACCACAGACTTGGTGACGGACAAAGTGTCAGTCATCATTTTTGGTATATGTCGCAACATTCTTGACACGTTTTCCTGTTACCACTCCCTAAATATTTCAGATAAAACCATTTTCTGTTCTGTTTAGCATGCGTCTTAGTTCCTCGATTTAATGTCTGTCATTTAGAGGGATTAATCATGGCAGATTCTTTGTAACCTGTAATATAATTCACAAGTAACCTTTTAAATTCTTTGTCTGGAGTACATCCAAGTAACCATCTAAACAAAGTGATGCCATTATTGATATCCTTCTCTCTCTGATGTGTTCATCAATCACTTCAGACAGCCTCTGATGAGAGAACCCCTTCAAAGGAAGACACTACTTTGATAACAGACAGGATTTTCCCACCAAAACTGCTAATTAACGTAAGACTAGTCGGTGGGGAACTTGTCGGTTATTGGATTAGTCTCTGGACAGTTCCCCCTCTTCCTTGTGTCTATTCTGATTTGTTCTATTTGAATGTTGAGATTTCAAAAAGATCAGACTTGGACAGCATTGCTATTTCGGTACAAACATCACAAGCCTGTCCATGAGTAAACTGAAATGACTGTTTTCTTTTAGTTTCCAATGGATGAAGTTATTGATGACCTAATCAGTCTTGAATCCGGTTTCAATGACGGAGGCTTGGATTGCATGGAGTCTAACCTTATGATGCAAAACAATGTAAGTATAAATCCCATCAACATATTAAACACTTTTAAATGTAAATGTTTTAATTGCATTCCTGCACAATCCTTTCGTCTTGTGTGCCTTCTTAGCTCACGTTATTGCAGTTATGCTCAGCGATTGACTTCTGTGTTTTTAAGTTGAATTGGGGACATGAAAGTGAAGTTTCCTCAACCCAATCTTTTGGGCGCAGGCTTGACTTGCTTGGGAAAAAGGGGACCTGTCTTAGTTTGGGGTCGGATTAAGTCTGGAGATGAGTCAAAGTTCAGTGGGGCTTAGCAACATTTCTCACATTACTCAAGAAGACCAACAATGCAGATTAAGTTAAAAAAGAGGATGTTTTTGCACATAGGGTAAAAAAGTTGGGACAAAAGAAGACTTTAAATGTATAGTGACTGTCTCACTGCAAGCCCTATCAGTGGCATTCATGGCCAGAAAGGAATTCTAAAACTCTGGGGGAAAAATGTGGGACAAGGGGTCCATTTGGCCGGGGAACATAGCAACACCTGAGCCAAATACAGGGAGAGTTTGTGGGATGGGAACCCTGGGAATCTGGCCTGACTCCTTAAATACAGAGGAAGACAGATTGGTGGACAAAAGACTCATACACCCTGATAAAGTGACACGCAGCCAAACACAACAGATACTGTGACAGAGTAGGAATGAGATGGGGGAGGAAAAGATAATGCTGGGGAGGGGTGAGAGATTTAGTTGGAGAGAGTTACTGAGCCATTGGATTGGGCTAATGCATACACTCCCTATGGGCTTGTTCAGAAATGATACCATGCTTAAATGGATCAATTCATCCTAATTAGTCATACAGTATGATGCATCACGTCGTTTCGCCGTGTCAACACATCCAGGAACATAGACGGGAGAGGGACTGAAGTGATTGAAAAAAGGAGTAGTAGGGGAATTGTTGCAATCTCTCACTTTGATAAGCACTTGTGTCCCCTCCTCCTCCTACTCTTCTCCTCCAATCTTAGTGAGATAATGAGAAAGACGCAAACTAAACCAACTGCCGATATCTGACATGTCTGCAGTTCCTTCTGTTTTGTTTCTTCTGCTTTTGCTTCCCATCTGCGACTTGCCATGCAGCCTTATCACGTTCACCAGCCTGGCAGTCAGATTTGACACACAAGTCTTGGATCAAATTGGCTGTGCGCATCGTGGAATGCATGGTGGCTTCTGTAGCCTGTTCCCATAAATACACAAATGCGAATTAGACACACATGTGTGTCAGCACGCTATATCTTGACATCTCCCCAGTCCGTGAAAAGACGCCATTATCGCAGAACCGATGCACGCTTTCCCAGACAGGAAGGGACCCGTAGGAAAACAGTTTTGCCTCTGTTCATGCAGTTGACCTAGCTAGCCTTTTCATCCAATGGGAGGCTATTTTCAACACAGAGGACATCTCTGTGTTAGGAGCACTTTCAAGTGGAGGGGTTTTGAAAAGGGTGAAAGGGTGGCATTAGCAGATCAAGGCACGAAGTCTGGACAAACCAAACCTCAGACGGCTGCAAGCCTCGGTTGGAGGTTAGGCTTAGATGGGGTAACGCTGGAGGACATCCCTTCATTGACCTGGTTCCAGCAAGGTTAAGTTCTTGTTAGTCTTTTTTCACTCTTTGTTATACAAGATGAGCAGGCACTGTCCTGCTGAGGGAGACATGTGGGTACTACAACCCCCTGCTGGGAGGGCCAGAGCCAGAGGCCTGGGGGCTGACAACCTTTCTCTGATCCCTTCTCTTGTCATTTTATGTCAATGACAAACAAAGCCACACAGCAGCTAAAAACAACTATTTGTGCTGTGGCTTTTGTTAGAGTGTGAAATGCAAATGCTTTTACATTACATTACATGTTAGACGCTTTTTTCCAAAGCGACTTACATACTCAATACTGTGGGCAATCCCCACAGGAGCAATTTGGGGTGAAGTGTCTTGCCCAGGGACACAACGACATGCTGACTACAGTGGGGTTTGAACCTGTGCTCCCCTGATCCCAACACCAACGCTCTATCCACTGCGCCACACGCCTCCACATGCGTCCCCTGTAACTGACCACTTATCTTTCTCTCCCCCCCTCTTCTCTGTCCTATAGGTGTCCCTCAGTGGCAGCATGCTGGATCTCTATGGGGGTGAACAAGGTATGAACGCCCCTAATGAGTCCCACATCTAACCCCAGAAAGCTCACTGTAAAAAAAGAATACTCAGGTATGAAATCATGCCATAGCTTTAACCTAAGAACAAAGCATTTAATAACATGCTCACATTGATGATCAAGTTAAAAACACACACATTTTGCTTGTTGGTTTAAGATATTTAGGAAACAAATAAAGGCATATTTCTTATAAATGTGCTGCAAAGTAAGGCAAAGGTGTTCGTTATTTCTAAAACCCAGTCCAATTGCGTGGACAGACAAATGTCGATTTGCGTCCTGTATTTTTGGAGAAACAGAGCCCTTTTTCTTTCAATGGTTCCACTAATAGACTGCAGAAACGTGTAGACTTTTTGTCACAGTGCAAAAAACATAAAAATACTAACAAAGGGCCCTTTAAGACATTTCTTATTAATGTCATGCATCAAGCAAAGTAGCCTAATTGATTTAGGAGATAGAAAGGATGCCAGAAGAACCCTTTACTCTCCACGGGTAAATAAGTCAATTGCCATCTGTTACGTTTGAGCGTGGGCAGAGAGGACAATTGGCTGTTACACAGACTTTAAATTGTCCTGATTGAATCAACAGAGACAAATTGGGAAATCCAATCTCAGGTCCCCAATTATGTAATTTGGAAGAATGTGAATACAAATATGGATGCACTGGCAAGTTTGTCCCCCATCCAGTGTAGTGAATTTGCCAAAGTGTCCTAATTACGGTAGTTAAAAAGTGATCCCCATTTTTGCGTCCACAATGAGCTTCAGACATGCTGGACGGGATATATTGGGCTTATTCAGTGTGTGTGTGTGTGTGTGTGTGTGTGTGTGTGTGTGTGTGTGTGTGTGTGTGTGTGTGTGTGTGTGTGTGTGTGTGTGTGTGCGTGTGTGCGTGTGTGTGTGTGTGTGTGTGTGTGTGTGTGTGTGTGTGTGTGTGTGTGTGTGTGTGTGTGTGTGTGTGTAAGGAGGTCAAACTAGTGTCTGGGGTGTGGGCTAATGAACGGGAATTCCACATTCTGGCTGACCCTGCCCCTGAACTCCCTCAAAACAACTGATTGTGTGTCTCCTGACTGGACCTTTTGTGGCGTTTTGCGTTCTTACGTTTTCTAAATTAGTGTGCGTTGCTAATAAATGTGTTCCCCTTCTCTCGACAGAACTTGACACAAGAGGGATGGCCAAAGAGAGACAGAAAAAAAACAACCATAATCTGAGTAAGTGTCTGCCGCCGCCTTTCAACTCCCTCACAGTATATCATCTTAAATGAGTTATAGCTAGCCTTTAGCGCAGCAGCCCACAATGTCTTAATTCACTTTCTCTTCTTCTGCTTGTTCAGTCGAAAGAAGGCGAAGATATAACATCAACTACAGGATCAAGGAGCTTGGGACGCTCATACCAAAGTCTAATGACCCGTAAGTTGCACAATCTGAATGTATTCATTGAAACAACAACCCTTCTTTGCTGCATTTGTCATGGAAATAACTGGAAGACCATTTTCTGGTGAGGAAGAGCATATTCAATTCAGAGCACAAGGACATTTTAAACGTTGTTCATTGAATTCAAATGAGTACTCAAGCACATTTCCGTCATATTTCAAGGGTGCACTTGAACTTCCATTGTAGTCGAAGCTCCACGAGCTGTACCTCCTCTCGCTGGGTCCCGGCAGTTCAGCGCAAAGCATGAATGATGAGGAAAGGGGTCAAATGCAAAGAAGCAGGCCAAGCCATTTGGAATCAAAGTTTGAAGCACAATTGGAACATGGAGATGGAGTGTGGCGCTGAATTGAAATCCACCGGCCATCTTTCCACAAATTGAACTTTGCTTTAAATTTAAATGGAAGGTTACCGTTGTCATCGCGCCATTAACACGAGATAAAGGAGATTATTAACGCTGATCACACCAACCTCTCATTCCTTTGGAAAGGACCATTTTACTACAGCTCCCCTTTACTTAAAAAGAAGCAATAATATCTGCAAAAGAACGACTTGCACTCTAGCACCTCAAGTCCAATACTCCATTTTCTCCTCCGTCTTCCTACTTAGCACTCACCTATTTTTACTCAAGGATTAATTTTACCGAACAAGGAGGTACGAGAATGGACTTTCCACATAGCTACTTAACTATTCTATTAAAATTCCCATTCCCATGTAATGTCCAAGGATGAATAATTGCCCCATGTAAATCACCTTTTCTTATTCATATCATAAAAGCCGAAAAAACCTCTGTGTTAAAACTTTCCCCCCCGTTTCTTTCTTCTCTTTTTTTACGGAGGATATTCTGCCGACATCAGGGGGTTCTGAATTAAAGGTTATCTTTTACATTTCTCCTTTCTGCAGAGACATGCGCTGGAACAAAGGCACCATCCTGAAGGCCTCGGTGGAGTACATAAAGTGGCTGCAGAAGGAGCAGCAGCACGCTCGGGAGCTGGAGAGCCGTCAGAAGAAGCTGGAGCAAGCCAACAGGAGACTTCTGCTGAGGATCCAGGTAAGAACATGGAACGGTCTACAAATCGGCATTTAGTTCACATCTTAAGAATCAAAAGTAGATTAAAGGTTACCTATTATGCAAAATCCACTTTTTCATGTCTTTTATAGATAAACATGTCCCCTCTGTGTAAAAAGATTCTGAAAGTTTCAGGAAAAAAGATTCATTCCTGAAAATTAGATTTTGGCCACTTTATGATGTCATAACGATGTTTTGTCTTGTGTAACCATTAGCCAATCACCAACCAAGGTAACCCCCCCCACCTTATCACCTGAATTTCCTCCTAGAGCACCATTGTGTTCTTTTTAACCAAATATCTCTCAGAGGGGCGTGGGGAGGGGCTCCTTATTTTCATCTAAAGTAACAGACACAGAATCAGCACTTTTGGAACAGGACTGAAACAGAGGGGATTATGGGATGCTGCAATGATCTGTTTGGTGTTTGGAGCCAAACACTTCAGAGACATGTTTTGTATATATCTGAGACATCTAATATATTGATGAAAAACAGTATAATAGGGGACCTTTAAATCAATGACATTAGCTAGGATATGCTGGGTTTGCTAATAATGGATTATGACAGACACCAGAGTTCTTCCTAAGAATTATGACTTTACTGAGACACACTGATGTCTTATTATCGATCTATTTTAAGCAGCTTCCTCCTGGCTTGTTTTATTATGCCAAAGATGAGTTTGGTAAAGACAGAGGACTCATTCTGACAATCCACCTGACTCATTCATCCCTAATTTCCACCTCCAAAGTTTTACAACCCCCCCAAACACCCTTCTGCTGTTGTTTACATGAGAGGGTCCTTCCACTCCCCCCATCCCTTAATGCTCAGTGCTAATTACCCAATGAATAAACACAATAAACCCAGCACTTTTCAGTGGGAAATAACCATATGCCAATGATGGGAAGAACACAACATCTGTTATCATCTTTAAAGATGACCAAGCTATCCGAGAAACAGTGACCACAACTGACGTCAAAAGGACAACAAACAAAGGTCAAACAGGGTATTGGATGAGTAGTTTCCATTTGAATTAAAGGTGTGTGGCAGTGTGAGAAATATCCAAAGTGTGGGTGGAATAAGGTGGGGGAATTTTCTCAACACTAGAAAATATTGAAATTATCTCTTACTCATGGTTTCTTTTCACTTTACTTTCCAGGAACTTGAGATCCAAGCACGAGCACATGGCCTCCTAAACATGGCTTCGGCGTTGGGGACGGTGGAGCTGTCCTCTCACCTCCTGAAGCAGCAGCAGCAGCAGCAGACGTCTCCCCAGGCCCAGCAGCCCCAGCAGGCCCCCATCTACCAGGAGGACCCTAACAGCGACTACCTCCAGAGGCTAGGGGGTCTTCCTGCCACCATCCCCAGTGCCGCCGGGCCCCAGGACCACATCCAGGGCGCAGACGGCTGCCCCACCTTCTCCGACCCGCTGTCCCACTTCACAGACTTCTTCAGCTCCACACTGAAGGAGGAGCACCGGCTGGACGAGATCCTGATGGACGACCCCCTGTCCCCCTTCGGCACCGACCCCCTCCTCTCCGCCGGATCACCGGGAGCCGGGTCCAAAGACAGCAGCCGCCAGAGCAGCTTCAGCTCTGGGGAGGACGAAGAACTATAGGTGCCTCTCTACAGGAACTCTCTTCACTGCTGTAATCCCCAGTGGGAAAGGCCATTTAAAGACAATACTGACCTCTCACTGGGTCCTTTAAAGGCCATGCTATTTTTAGGCAATAGCATAGGTCTCAGATATATAAACAAATATAAAAAACATGTCTATGAAGTGTTTTGGTCAAAACACCAAACAGATCACCCATTCTAGCCATGCCTCATATCCCTCTATTTCTCTTCCTGTTACAAAAGTGCTGATTCTGGGTATAAACAGGTCTCTCTTGAGAATGAGACCCTCTGTCTCAATGAGATTTTCACCTGTATACATTTTTTTTAAATTAAGCTTTTTTTTTTTTAAACTGAAAAAATAAATAAAATAAGAGGGGGCGGGGCTTATGCCGGCTCATGCGGGACCTGGCAGATACAGTCTAAAATGCTGCGGTGATGAAACACAAGGATTATTAGATCAAGGATTATTTCTGAAACAGTATGGAGCTCAAATCTTTCTTTCTTGCCGGTTATACCACAAGGTGAGTTCCTTTTTATATCCTGCTTCTTCACACACATGCTCTCTCCAGTACAGGTTAGCTCTGAGTGTTAGCGATGCTAATGTAAACACCGACCATATTACGTCCAAAACAGTCGGGCTGCTCCTGTTCCTCCATCAGCTCTTTTTTTTATACTTTGTACAGACAATGTTTCTCTGCCTCCCACATAGAGTGGGAACAGACTCACAAGAAAAAGGGAGACATGTATCAGCCTTTAATGTAAATAACTACTTTTTTTAAAAACACTGTGGTAGCTGTACACTGTAAATATGCAAAGTAATCACTGGAAAACCTGCCAAACTGTCCTTTAAAAACAAAAAAAGCAAAATACCACTGCTTCACAAAAGGATTGAAAAACAGTTGCATATGTGCCTTATCATTATCGTCTTGTACGGATGTACTCACCACGATGCCTAACCTTTGTTAGTCTTTTGTCTGTCTCTTTTCAGTGTTTTTGTTAAATAATGTATTTATATGTGTTTTAATCCATGTATTCTTGAAAAATATATATATTATTATCTAACATGTTATCTTTTTTATTCTTAGTAGGGGTGGGAAAAATATAATAAACCGCTTTTTTTGTTATACATGATTTTGACTTCCTGTTGTCATCTCACAGAAGAAATGATATACTTGAGGTGTGTATTAACACACCCTCGATACAAAATACACACAACATACGTTATACCAAAATACTACATGAACTCCACTTCAAAGGAGAAGAAAATAAATAATAATAATGATAATAAGAAGAAAAGGAAGTAGAAATGTCTAGAATTTGAAAAAAGCATTATTATTACAGTATTTTACTAAATCATACAATACAATCAATGTTTTATTCCAAAATACTACATGAACTCCACTTCAAAGGAGAACAAAATGTAACTAATGGAAATAAAAATAATAACATAAACATTACTAATTATACAATATACTAATAATACTTTATACTATAATAGTAGAGTTTTTTATAGTTGAGTTTTTTTAAATAATAAATAATAATAATAATGAAAGAAGAAGAAAGAAGAAATGTCTAGAATTCGAAAAAGCATTATTATGTTATATTATTACAGTAGTTTGTGTTCTACATTGAATGGAAGACCTTTTTCTCGCACAGTCTTTGAAAAACATACAATACATTTTCAGCATTGTACAAATGAGCAACATCTCACATATAATCGCTCTCTTTGCTGAATGTAAACTCAACACATGATGGTAGAAATATGATACAACAAGATGACCAGCGGCTGACCGAGTGTAAAAACATCTTGCTGGACGGCAGCAAGGCAGAGAGAGTGAACAAAGGCAGGAAAGTTTCACAGTGGAAGGTGAAGGGCCGGCTTACAAGATGGCTGATTGGCAATGAGTGGCAGAGAGGAGGGAAATTGGATAATAAAGACAAGTAGAAGAGGACTAATAATTCTTACGAGCCTACTGTGAGCTGATGAGCCCTCGAGGATGAATAACGGCGAGGCATGAAGAGCTGCTCTGAGAGCTGTTAGCTAAAGTTTCCTGTGAGGTAAGACCAGGGCCGCCCCTCCCTACAGGCCGATCACGCAGACTGCGTGGGGCCTCACCTCACGAAGGGGGCCTCATCTGAAGCGCAAATGCGGCGCACCTACAGTGTAAGCGCGCCCCCCCCCCCCCCCTGGGTAAGACGCATCAAGTGATCCAAACTGCAGGAAACTGTTGATATCATTAAAAAAGTTTGCTGAAGAAAGTTTGTTTGTGACACAAAACTTTGACCTCATTACGATCATGAATCTGATTTGTGTATTCATTCCAAATTCATGCATTAATAATACAACAAACACACGAGCGCCGATACTTCCCAAATGGATTTTCTCCAAATCAAAGCTTCTCTGAATTAATGTTTAAGGGTGTGTTTCTCTGTAATGAAATCAAAACATTCCTCGCTTCTTTTTACCCGCAAATAAGGCCCGAACCAATCAATCGCGCTCTACAGAGAAAAGTCCAACTACAAAGCGGTGAGTGATGTTTACGTGTAATTGGCCAAAGCAGTTATGGAAGGTAAATATGGATTTCCAGGAAAGGGTATCTAAGAAAGAGTCAGCATGATTACAATTTCAAAAGGCTCAATTTACATTTTGTAATTCAATGATTTTTTTTTCTCATCTTACCCAACTTGGGAAAAATACACAAATCCAATTAGCTGGATGAAAGTCAGGGGTAGATGAATACAAATACTCTCAACCTTAATGGGAGTATTGACAGAAATACTATTTTTTTCAAGGCTTACCTCAAGAGACAAAGCCCTGAAAAGTCAGATTAAACTTCCTCACATTAATTCTTCCCCATATCAAAGGCCATCATGGACAAAGTTCAAGGCCAGTTATGTGCAGGCTTCAAAAGGAAATGTGGTCGGATGAGGCAACGGTGACATCAGAACAAGCGACTTTTTATTTGGAATATCGCAGCTCATCAACCCACGCTTTCGGAGACTCACAGGAAAAAGTGTCTACAGTGGACTAAGAAAGGTATCAGATAGCACTGTTATGTTAGAGACATTAGCTGAGAGGAAGACGTACATTTAAACATGTAAAGAAAAATTTGGGAACGTTTGTAATCCTTCTCACTCTCTCTCACGTCCCCCGAATAAGAAACAGATTTCAGCTATGCGCCCAAAAATGAGCACCTTGTAAAAATAATCTTTCCACTTTTTGTGTGTGTTACTAATGCATGCACAGCAAAATGGTCTCCTAAAAATAATGACCTCACTCTTAGGATAACAAGCTGGCTGCTGTGTCATATTTCAAACAGCAGGTGGCAGCAGTGTGCTGTGCTTATTCATCAAAAGTAAACCCAAATCAGAAGAGTGGTACAACATGTGTGGTGGATTATTTAAAACAAAACACAATCAAGTAAAAATAAAAAGAGTATAACGAGACTACTTGCACATACTGTATGGCGTAAGTTCCTCTGCAGTATATGCTAAAAGTCTGTAGGTAGTTCCTATACTTCCTGACAAATCTAAAGAAGGCAAGTGATGTTGTGAAGCTCACAGTGGAGTCGTTCTGTCACCAAAACAACGTTGTCAGGCCTCCTGCCACCCACCAACACCGACACGCCACTGAGGAGGAGAAGCTGTCACCTGTGCACATGCCACAGCTGCCAGAGAGCTACAATACACTCACCTGTCGAGCCTGCCATTGGCAACTCTTAATCACCTCCTGCTGAGGTGACTCACTTCTCACACACACACACACACAGGGCCCGCACGCACATACACACACACAGGGCCCGCACGCACACACAAACAAGCCTAATCAAATGTGCAAACACACACAGATATGCATACACACGCGCACAGGTGTGTATCTCACACAGCTAGCGGAGGGAAAAAAATACCCACCTAAAAGCCCTCATCAGTATCTTGGACTGTGACAAGACTTGTGCACAAATTAAGTGAAATTTGAGTGGGAATAACAATATGACAGGCGGCAGGGAAGCACCAAACATCAAGTGTCATATCTATTTTCAGCCAGGAATTCGGAGCGGTGTGACAAACAACACCGTGCTGCCTCTCAATCAGTCAGCCTCGCTCCTGGAAATGTGGCAAACTAGGCGTCGGTTGGAGTTTTAACTCCAGGGAGACAATAGGAAATGATCTGAGGTCGAGGTCAAAGTTAAAATAGAAGAGGACAACATTTAATTTAATTTATGAGGCGTGTGGCGCAGTGGATAGAGCCTTGGTGTTGGGATCAGGGGGTCACAGGTTCAAACCCCACTGCAGTCAGCATGTCGTTGTGTCCCTGAGACACTTCACCCCAAATTGCTCCTGTGGGGATTGCTCACAGTATTGAGTATGTAAGTCGCTTTGGATAAAAGCGTCTAACAAGTGACATGTAATTTAATTTCCTTTTTATTTGTTCCATTCATGGTATGCACAACTTAATGTATAACAATTATTTACAACACATTTCTCTATAAACAAACCATACCTGAAAAGGAGCAGGGAGAAGAACATAATCTTATATTACCTGCCCCTTTCTAAAAAATAATAATAAATAAAAATAGATGGTCTGTCCTTCATATTTTCTTATTCACAGCCAATCAACAGTATCGTGGGAAAATAAGAGAAACACAAAAACGTACAAAAAATAAATACTTAGTTCCCACTTGACAGTTAACGGAAAGAAACAAAACATCACATGTACAAGGAAAAGTGAAACATCTGAGTCCTACTGGAGCATCATATGTAATGATAAGGAGCAACATCTCTGCATGTTAGTAATTCCTCCCATGATTCTTTCGGGCATCGGCCTCCATGCTGCTTTTATTAAAGACCACACCCTGCCCAGCGCTCCACAAACTCCCACGTCACTAGACGAGGCCCCACGTGCATTAACGATGGAACACAAGAGAAGTGAAAAAACGAGTGGCTGGGCCTTCTCGAGATGCTATAAAATTAATGCGATTCCCAGAGTTTTTATGAATCGAGCCAGATGCCAAATACATAACTTCAAACAAATTGACTTCCAATTATTGGTGCGGCACACCACTTCCAGATGTGCAACAGATGGGGCCGGGGCGACCAAAGGTGTCTCAACCCGCGCTTTGTGTTATTCCGCAGTAAAACGGCAGTACAGTTGTATGTGTTTTAAATCACCGTGGGCTGTGGGCTGGAGGTGAAGGGAAG